AAGCTAGAAGAATCAGATGAAAAATTCAATACCATATGCAAGAAGCTAGAAGAATCAGATGAAAAATTCAATACCATATGCAAGAAGCTAGAAGAATCAGATGAAAAATTCAATACCATATGCAAGAAGCTAGAAGAATCAGATGAAAAATTCAATACCATATGCAAGAAGCTAGAAGAAACAGATGAAAAAATCAACAACTTAAGTAAGGCCCAAGAAGAAATGAAGAGTGATATAGCTGCCATAAAAAACTCCATTGAAAGTATCAACAGTAGACTAGGAGAAGCGGAGGACCGAATTAGTGAATTAGAAGACAAGGAAGCAAAACACACCCAAACTATACTGCAAATGGAGAAAAAAATTAAAAGACAGGAGGAGAGCCTAAGGGAGCTTTGGGACAACATGAAACGAAACAACATACGAATAATAGGGGTGCCAGAACAACAGAAAGATGAACATGGATTAGAAAACCTATTCGAAGAAATAATATCAGAAAACTTCCCTGAGGTGGGGAAGAAAAAAGTCACACAAGCCCAGAGAGTCCCAAACAAGGTGAATCCGAAAAGACCCACACCAAGACACATCATAATTACCATGGCAAATGTTCAGGACAAAGAGAGAATCTTACAGGCTGCAAGAGAGAGACGGAAAGTTACATACAAGGGATCTCCCATTAGATTATCAAATGATTTCTCAACAGAAACACATCAGGCCAGAAAAGAATGGACAGAAATCTACAAAGTGATGCAAAGCAAAGGACTGAATCCAAGAATACTCTATCCAGCAAGGCTATCATTCAAAATTGAAGGGGAAATAAGAAGCTTCACAGACAAAAAAAGGCTAAGGGAGTTTATCACCACCAAGCCAGCCATGCAAGAAATGCTAAAGGGACTGGTGTAAAAAGAAGAAATAACAAGCTCAGAAAGAAAACAGCCACACACACAAAAAAAGAAATGGCTACAAACAAGTACCTTTCAATAATAACTTTAAATGTAAACGGACTAAATGCTCCAACCAAAAGACATCGAGTGGCTGAATGGATAAAAAAACATGACCCATACATCTGCTGTCTACAAGAGACCCACCTCATTAGAAGGGACTCACACAGACTGAAAGTGAAGGGATGGAAAAATATCTTTCACGCAAATGGAAAGGAAAAGAAAGCTGGGGTAGCAATACTTATATCGGACAAAATACATCTCAAAGTGAAGGCCATAACCAGAGATAAGGAAGGCCACTTCATAATACTAAAGGGATCAATACAACAAGAAGATATAACCCTGGTAAACATATATGCACCCAATGCAGGAGCACCCAAATTCATAAAAAAACTCCTGGAAGATATCAAAGGAGAGATCGACAACAATACAATCATAGTAGGGGACTTTAATACACCACTGACACCACTGGATAAGCCCGCTAGACAAACAATCAGCAAAGAAACAGCAATCCTAAATGACTCACTAGATCAGATGGACTTAATTGACATCTTCAGAACACTTCACCCCAAAGCCATGGAATATACATTCCTCTCAGGTGCTCATGGGACATATTCAAAAATAGACCACATATTGGGTCACAAGCAAAGTCTCCACAAATTCAAGAAGATTGAAATCATAAAAAGCTTCTTCTCAGACCACGATGGCATAATGTTAGAAATAAACTACAATAAAAACAACCCAAAATACTCAAACACTTGGAAGCTGAATAGCATGTTATTAAATATTGATTGGGTTACCAATGAGATCAAAGAAGAAATTAAAAACATCCTGGACACTAATGACAATGAAAACACAACAATCCAAAACCTATGGGACACAATGAAAGCAGTCCTGAGAGGGAAGTTTATAGCTCTACAGGCCTACCTCAAAAAACAAGAAAAAATGGTAGTAAATCATCTAACTCTTCAACTCAAAGAATTAGAAAGAGAGCAACAAGAAAACCCCAGAGTGAGCAGAAGGAAGGAGATAATAAAGATTAGAGCAGAAATAAATGACATAGAGACCAAAAAAACAATACAGAAAATCAATGAAACCAAGAGCTGGTTCTTTGAAAGGATAAACAAGATCGACAAACCTCTAGCCAGGCTCACCAAGAAGCAAAGAGAGAGGACCCAAATAAACCAAATCAGAAACGATAGAGGCGAAATAACAACAGACCCCACAGAAATACAAATGATTGTTAAACAATACTATGGACAGCTCTACTCCAACAAACTAGACAACCTGGAGGAAATGGACAAATTCCTAGGAAAATACAACATTCCAAAACTCAATCAGGAAGAATCTAAAAATCTCAATAGGCCAATAACTATGGAAGAAATTGAAGCAGTCATCAAAAAGCTCCCAGCAAACAAAAGCCCAGGACCAGATGGCTTCTCAGGGGAGTTTTACCAAACTTTCAAGGAAGAACTAAAACCTATCCTCCTCAGACTACTACAAAAAATTCAGGAGGAAGGAACACTTCCAAGCTCATTCTATGAAGCCAGCATCACCCTAATACCAAAACCAGGTAAAGACAACACAATGAAAGAGAATTACAGGCCAATATCCCTCATGAACATAGATGCCAAAATCCTCAACAAAATCTTAGCAAATCGGATCCAACAGTACATCAGAAGGATCATACACCATGACCAAGTAGGATTTATCCCAGGAATGCAAGGATGGTACAACATCCGTAAATCAATAAACGTAATACATCACATAAACAAATTGAAAGAAAAAAACCACATGGTCATATCAATTGATGCAGAAAAAGCATTCGACAAAATCCAACACCCATTTTTGATAAAAACTCTCAGCAAGGTGGGAATAGAAGGATCATACCTCAACATAATAAAAGCCATATATGACAGGCCCACAGCCAACATCATACTCAATGGACAAAAACTAACACCATTTCCCCTAAGAACAGGAACAAGACAGGGATGCCCACTCTCGCCACTCCTCTTCAACATAGTCCTGGAAGTATTAGCCATTGCAATTAGACAAGAAGAAGAAATAAAAGGCATCCAAATTGGAAAAGAGGAAGTAAAACTGTCCTTATTTGCAGACGACATGATATTATACATACAAAACCCTAGAGACTCCATCAAAAAACTACTAGACTTAATACATGAATTTGGCAATGTAGCAGGATACAAAATTAACCCCAAGAAATCTGAGGCATTTCTATACACCAATAGTGAACTTTCAGAAAGAGAGATTATAAAAACAATCCCATTTACCATCGCACCAAAAAAATTAAGATACCTAGGAATAAACTTAACTAAAGAGGTAAAAGACCTCTACTCAGAAAACTACAGGACGTTGAAAAAAGAGATAGAGGAAGACATAAAGAGATGGAAGAACATACCATGTTCTTGGATTGGTAGAATCAACATCATTAAAATGTCCATACTACCCAAAGCAATCTATAAATTCAACGCACTTCCCATTAAAATACCAATGGCCTACTTCAAAGATCTAGAACGAACTCTCCAAAAATTCATCTGGAATAAAAAAAGACCCCGAATAGCTGCAGCGATCCTGAGAAAGAACAAAGTAGGTGGGATCTCAATACCAGATATCAAGATGTATTACAAAGCCACTGTTCTCAAAACTGCCTGGTACTGGCACAAGAACAGACATATAGATCAATGGAATAGAATAGAGAACCCAGAAATCGGCCCGAACCAATATGCTCAATTAATATTTGACAAAGGAGGAAAGAACATTCAATGGAGCCAAGATAGTCTCTTCAATAAGTGGTGTTGGGAAAATTGGACAGATATATGCAAGAAAATGAAACTAGACCACCAACTTACACCATACACAAAAATAAACTCAAAATGGATAAAGGACTTAAATGTACGACAGGAAACCATAAAAATTCTAGAAGAATCCAAAGGCAACAAAATCTCAGACATATGCCAAAGCAATTTCTTCACTGATACAGCTCCTAGGGCAGTTGAAACTAAAGAGAAAATGAACAAATGGGACTACATCAAAATAAAAATGCATGGTGTCAAATGGGTACTAAACATATTGGGTGAATCACTTTGAAAATTATACAAATGTCTAACTAATGTACACCTGAAACTAATGTAATATTGAATTTGAACTGTAATTAAAAAATAACTATACATACAAAATTTAAAAAAAAATAAAATAAAAAAATAAAAAAAAGGAAAAAAAAGAAGAATTATTGCTGTTAGCCTCAATAGTTTTATTTATTTTTTAAATTGCAGGTTCGATCTGCATGTGTCTGACTGCAGATCAAACCTGCAACCTGGGTATAGGTCCTGACCGGGAATCAAACCCCACAACCTCCTGGTGTATGGGGCAGTGCTCCAACCAACTGAGCCACACTGGCCAGGACTAACCTAAATAATTTTAAAGAAGTATATATAAGATGTAGCAAATGAATTCTTGATACTACCTAAGCACTTATTTCCAATTTATTCTTATGTCAATTTGTAGTTGATATTTTTGAGGCTTTTACCTTGATTAATAGGAGAACTAATAGAAACTCAGTATCCATTGATTAGAGGTCATCATCACCAAAATCAATAATTAAAATAACAGCATCCCTCATAATTTTTTGCTAACTCTCCAAATTTATTGCTAACTCTCTGTGCTGGCACTCTGTAACATAAAGGGTGGAGAGTGAGAGATTTAAAATCAATAAGATATAATTCTGGTATTTATTTTTTTAATCCTCATCCAAGGATACTTTTTCCATTGATTTTTTTAAAAGAGAGAGTGGAGGAGAGGGTAGGGGGGAGAGAGAGAAACATCGATGGGTTTCTCCTATCGATTGGTTGCCTCCTGCACACACTCTGACCATGACCGGGCATTTGTATGTACACAGTGGTTGATCCTAAAGGACCACGTAAGCTTGATCCTTGAAGGGCTGTAAACAAAAGCAGCACAGCGACAAGAATGAATGCTTTCAAGGCTACTCTCCCCCTTGAAAAAAAGAAACACACACAAACATAGAACCTTCAAACACACAAATCCCATAAACTCAAGTGGTGTTTATTTCCAATTATGCTTTAAAGGTGACTTTCTGTTTTCCTTTGAGAAAGATATATTTGTTTGGTTTCATAAAAGCATTGTCCTATTGATGTGTGAAGAACTGTTCTCCCCAAACTCTCACTCCTGAGAAACATGAGATTCTCTAGAAAGTTATCATCACTAATGTTCACAAATTCATCAAAATTGGACCTTGAAGCATTCTCATTTGAAAATTACTGTGAATGACTATGTTTCCAACAGGGAAAAACAATACTGTGAAAATCAGAAGCAAAATTGTTAGTTCATTTCTTCTGTCTCCTCCTCCTTCTGGTCCCCTTTCCCTCCATCACCTCTCTCTTGCTGCAGAATGCCTTTGCCCTCTGTGTCCTTCAGAGAGAATCCCAGGTGACAACAGAACAGTGAGCCTGACTGAGAGGAGAATGCCACTTTGTGGTACACACGCTAGTGGTTTAACTGAGAGGGACACAGAACTACTATTTCACTGAGGGTGACAAGCCCCAAAGTGCAGTTACCTGGGGGTGGGGGAGAGGTCTGAGTGAAAGGCAGGTGCTCAGAAAATGGCATTGCAGGGGTGGGGCAAGGGGTTTTAGCCTTTTTCCTAACTCTCAAAGGGCAGGAAGAATTTCTCAGGTAACCGTCCAGCAGTTACAGACTCAGGCCAGAACGACAGAGTAACTCAAGGCATGACTGGTGAAATGTTTTTCTTTCCCATGTTGCCCCTCTAAGGTGCACCCTGCGTAGCAGACAGGCATCTGTGGACCTGACCAGGCAGACCAGGGGGCTGGAAAAAGGGGCTTTTTTCCACATCCAACATGCCCTGTGCCAAATCATCGCAAAGCAAACTGAGCAGTGTCAAGGGAAGAATTTACAGAGCAGTTCAAAGGTTCCTGGTGATTCCACTGTATTTCATAGAATGATTTACATTTCTTTTTTTGGTCATGGTAAGGTCTATTGGCACAAACAGCACAGCCACAAAGTATTCTTTTGCTTTTAATAACTCATCTTATATATATATACTTATATATTTTTATATATCTGCTTATCTTCATTTCCTCAGCAAAAAAAGGGAAATAAAAATATTGATCTATAAAATAAGCTGATGATAACACAATGCCAAAAATAGCTTATGTTAAGTGCAAGGGGTGAAGCTTGAAAGCAAGCTAAATTGCAACAACATATTGAATTAACATTTTAAATACAAGACTTGCAATAAAATAATTCTTGAGATATGCTTCTCGTTTTTAGTTTACTTTTCAAAAAACTACTCTATATACACATATCCAGTTGTAACACTTGACAGTAGCATATGGGGCGTGATATAACTTTGGTACACGTTGCAGATATGGATGGGTAATGTCTGTAAATGATATTCCTTCACCAGTTAGAGCACTGTACAGCCAGGTGACCTGTCACCTGATCCCACATAATCCTCCCACAGGAACCCCAAAGTCCTTCCCAGATCCACCAGAGACAGCGGGAGACAGCCGGCTCACTGGATCCATATCGTGTTTCCTCGCTCGGGTCTCCTGGGTTCCACCGTCAGCTCCCCAAATGTGGAGAAAAACTGCTCCATTTCTTTCTGAAGCATGTCATTTCTTTTCTCAGCGTCTTCTTTCGCTCGCTCTGCGTTCCGCATTTTGATTTCTATCATTGTGAACTTTTTCCTCTCCTGATCCAGTTCATCATGGAGGTTCATCATTTCTGTTTCCAACGTCAAGTTTCGCTGCTCTAAGCTGCAAAGGGTTGGGGCGAAAATAAAAGATAAAGTGATTTTATTCACATGCAATAGGACAGGGATACAAATATTATCTAAACTCTGTCTCTGCAAAGCTTAGGAAATTGGGGTGAGCCCTTTTAAATCAGTGAGGTAAGGTCCAGTGATTTTAAAGGTTTTGTTGTTGTTGTTTTAGTATTTGCTAAGATGATTTGCTATCATGTTAACAAGATACCCCAAGACCTCTCTCAGAAGCACTTAGTTGTCATTTGAAAGTGAATGTATAAATGTCAGCACAGAGGAGTCAGAAAACCAATGTCACACAGCACAGAACGGCAGAAGCAGAAGGCAGCCCAAACCACAAGGCTTCCTGGATCCTTATTGCAAAATGGGCTTTACTAACAGAAAGGGGGAAAGCCCAGTAAAGATGGAAGAAAAGGGGAGCAATCCTATTGGGTTTCTAGGAGAGGAAAAATGATAGTAAAAATATCATTGTTAGATAAAGTCCACTGCTAAGAATGAACTTTCTGAGACACAGGAATCTTATAAAAGTGGTACCAAAGCTAACGCACATGCAGAAGAGTAGAGATAACTTGTGGTGAATAAGTAATCCACCTGACATTTTGTGACAATGGAGTCCACCCAAGTAACCTGCTATCCCTAATCTCACTGCTTTCCAAGTTAATATATCTTAGGATCTCGAGATTTATATTTCTATAGATTGATAGCTGTATCCTTTTGGATAATTGTATGATTTTAGATAACTTTCTTGAAAACAGTTTTCTCCATAATCACTAAGTTCCAAAACATAATTTGTTGTTGTTCAAAGAGGAGTATTAAGCACTTGTTTATTATATGATGGATCTTAATAATAGTTTACTTTTTCGTGTCTCCTCTTCTGAGCTAATATCCCTGGGATATGTTTAAAGTTACCATAACACTAAAATTTGAATTTCAGAAACCTGATTATCTTAATAATAATTTTCAAACTTTAAATCTCAATTGTTTTTGTTTTATAATGTCTCATGTGTTGATATTTCATCCAGATAATAATAATAACACTTAAAAATAAACCTGTTCTACCCTAACCGGTTTGGCTCAGTGGATAGAGCATCGGCCTGCGGACTGAAGGGTCCCGGGTTCGATTCCGGTCAAGGGCATGTAGCTTGGTTGTGGGCACATCCCCAGTGGGGAGTGTGCAGGAGGCAGCTGATTGATGTTTCTCTCTCATCGATGTTTCTAACTCCCTTCCTCTCTGTAAAAAATCAATAAAATATATTAAAAAATAAATAAACCTGTTCTTCTTTTGAAAGTATGAGAATTCTTCATATTCTCTAATCAGTTAGAAGGCTGTTTTGATCATATGATCACATTTTTTATATGACAACCTGGCAGTGTGCTGGTTGCAACCCAGAATTAGTCTACAATACATTCTCTTTGATTTTTAAATCTATTTATTTTAGAAATAAAAATGCTAAAAAGAAACTCAAGCATAAATACCAATGAAGACAATCCTTTAAACAATAATGATACATTATACGTATCAGGCACTAGTATGAAACTTCCAGGACTCTAACAGCCTGAGTGGAATACAGAAGGGAACCCCTCCCACTGCAGACACAGAGTGATGCTGGAAAAATACATAAAAACTTTAAAAATATATAGCAAGGTTAAAAGAAATTTAAAAAAGCCTGTTCAAGTATCATAACCGAGAAAGATACTCCAATTTAGAACAGTAAGTGGAAGCACACAAAGGGTATTGATCCTGGATAGAGGTCTGAGGAGGGAGCTAGTTTTTATTTTTCACATGGGGGAGAAGAGGTCTCTGGTATAAGAGAGGAAGAAAACTGAGAGTGATTCAGCTGAGAGCTTATAGCATTAATTATCTTTATACAAAAGGGACCACAAACACTCTATTCATGGGATGAGTGAAGTGTCAGAATTAAATCAGCAAAAGAAAAAATCAGTGTTAAAGTATACATTTTTGGATATGTCTCTTTGGGCAAAGGCAACAAAAGCAAAATGTAACTACATTAAACTTAAAAGGCTCCAGCTGGCTTGGCTCAGTGGATAGAGCATCAGCCTGCGGACTGAAGGGTCCCAGGTTCGATTCCGGCCAAGGGCACATGCCTGGGTTGTGGGCTCGATCCCCAGTAGGGGGTGTGTAGGAGGTAGCTGATCAATGATTCTCTCTCACCATTGGTGTTTCTATCTCTCTCTCCCTCTCCCTGCCTTTCTGAAATCAATAAAGAAATATATTTAAAAAAACATAAAATGCTTTGCAAAGTGAAGAAGGCCATTAAGAAAGACAACCCACTGAATGGGAGAAATATTTGCAAATGATACATCTGGCAAGTGGTGAATACCTAAAATATACCAAAAACTCATATAATTCAACACCAGAAAAGCAAATAATCCGATTAAAAAATGGGCAGAGAACCTAAATAAACATTTCTCCAAAGAAGACATATAGGTGGCCAACAGATACCTGAAAAGATGCTCAACATCACTGATCATCAGGGAAATGCAAATCAAAAGCACAATGAGGTATCACCTCACACCTACAAAAGGCTACAATCAAAAAGACAACAAATAACAAGTGTTGGCAAGGGTGTAAAGGAGGGAACTCTCATGCATTGTTGGTGGGATTATAAATTAGGTACAGCTACTATGGGAAAGAGTATGGAAATTCCTCAAAAAATTAAAAACAGAATTACTGTATGATACAGCATTCAATTTCTGGGTATTTATCTGAAGAAAAAACACCCAATAATTTAAATGATATATACACCCTATGTTCACTGCAGCATTATTTACAATAGCCAAGATATGGAAGCAATGTAGGTGTCCATCAATAGATGAATTAATAAAGAAGTGGTACATATATACAATGAAATATGACTCAGCCATAAAAAAAGACTGAAGTGATACATATATACAATGGAATATGACTTAGCCATAAAAAAAGATTGAAATCTTGCCATTTGCAACAACATGGATGGACCTAGAGAATATCATATTAAATGAAATAAGCCAGAGAAAGACATGTCATATGATTCCAATTATGGAATCTAAAAAACAAGTCCAGTCGGTGTGGCACAGTGGTTGAGCATCAATCTATGAACCAGGAGTCACAGTTTGATTCCCAGTCAGGGCACATGCCTGGGTTGTGGGCTCAATCTCCAGTAGGGGGTGCAGGAGACAGCTGATCAATGATTATCTCATTGATGTTTCTATCTCTCTCTCCCTTGCCCTTCCTCTCTGAAATCAATAAAAATATATTTAAAAAACACAACACAATTGAAAAAAAAAATGAAACAGAAGCCAACTCATAGGTACAGAAAACAAACTGATGGTTTTCTGAGGAGTGGAGGGTGGGAAGTGGGAGAAAAAGAGGAAGAGGATTTAAAAGTACAAACTTTCAGTTATAAAATAAGTTACAGGGATGGAAAGTAAAGCAAAGGAAATATAGTTAATCTACATATATAAAAGGCTAAGTGACCGTCCAACCACCCGGTACCTATGACGTGCACTGACCACCAGGGGGCAGACGCTCAATGCAGGAGCTGCCGAGCTGCAGTGACTTGGCAGCAGCGGTTCTCAGGTGACGCACCCCTGAACCAGAGAGGAGGGAGCCCGATTCCTTGCGGGGCTGTGTGTTTCCACCTTCGGCCATGGGTTATTTTCCTGGGGCATTGTAGGCCCCAAATCTGGTTTACTGCCGAACTGGGGTGACCGCAGCTGCCCTTCGAGCCGTGGCCCTGGGAAGGGACTGTGGGAGGTTGGCTCCAGGGCATGTCCGGTTGTCTCGCCCAGTCCCACCCTACCAGCCACCTTCTAATTAATTTCCTTTCAATGTGCATGAATCTGTGCACTGGGCCACTAATAATATTAAAATAACTATGTATTGTGATAGATGGTTATTAGACTTATTGTGGTGATCACTTAGTAAGGTATATAAATGTTGGATCACTGTGCTGTACACCTGAAGCTAATATAATATTGTATATCTACTATAATAAAAAATAGATCTTAAAAAAGAAAAAAAAATCAGTAAACAGGAAAACAGGTCTGGGAAAATTGTCCAGAATGCCTCACAGAGAAAGATAGAAATTTAATGTGAGAAAGAGATGTTAACAGAGATGGAGCATGGATTAAGAAGGCCCAACATACTTGAATAAGGGTTGTAGAAACAGAAAGTTGAGAAAATGGGGAAGATGAAATAAAAAGATGATAGATAAAAATATTCCAGAATTGAAAAATATATGTCCTCAGATCAAATAAAATTTGAAAGTTAATGGTAAAAATAGCAGAAAGTTACTAATCAAAATAAAAAATGGTATAGCAATGCTAATATCAGAAAAAATAGACTTGTAGGAAAAATACATTATTACAACTAAAGATGACCATTACTCAATGATATCAATTCATCAGAAATATATAAACAATTCTGATCTTCTATTCACCTAGCAGTGTAGCCTCAAATAAGTTAATATAAAATATAACAGACATTTTTAAGGAGACATTGATAAATCCATAAAGCTTAGGAGAGTTATCTTTGTTAGAAGTTATAGATCTATCTGATAAAAATGAGGAAAAATGTAAAATATTTAAGCAGCTTGATTAACAGAGTTGCTCTATGGTCATATATAAAATCCCAAACCAATCATAAAAGAATCATTTTTACAAGACCAAATAATTGATATCATAAAAATAAATTTCTCTGACTATAATACAATAAAGGAAATGGGGGGTGGAGAACACTAAATTCACATTTTTAAAAACTAAAAAACATATCAATAATTGATAAAGTACTATCCAGCTATGTTATCTATCATCTGTTGAGCTATTCAGGTATGTAGGTACGTATGTACATACGTATGAATCATCTATCTAACCTCAATATTTGTGGGTGGAGTTAAAAAAATTGAAAGCAAAATGTGTAAGTCTAAGCAGGAATTTCTGTGGCTTGGGCATGTGGCAGCTCCTCTGCCCTACCTCTCTGTGAGCCCCTCCCTTGCCTGTCAGGTGGTAGGAATGCTACAGTGAGAGGGCCCAGTGGGATGGCACTCTATTGAAAAGTTCTATTATTTTATCAAAGTCTCTGAAATGCACCATAGACTCAGAACATGAATGTATCACCAATGTCGTCAAAAAGGAATATGTTCATCTGCAGCCATTCACAATGATAACTTATTTCCAGGATGGAGATAACAGTTGAAACTTGCATTAGGATGAATGCAAGCTTCAGCTGGTATCTCCTTTCCCAGTGCTAAGTGCTCATTTATCACCACGCACCGGGAGCAGTTCAGAGTTCTGGGAGCCAGTGCTTCTAAACATCACATTTAGAAAGAGGAGTAATCTGAAAGATGTTGCTGCCTTTTTCTTCTTATTTAAACTTCCCGTCACTCGGCATTATGGAGAAAAATTCAAATCAACTTTCCATTCAGCGAAGTTTACAAAAACAACTTTTGAAAGTAATTTTTAAACCTAACATATAAATAGCATTTTATTCTATATTTACTACACTGTGGGTACTCTTGAAAATAAGTACCTTTTGGCCTGATGATTGATAAATGGATGGGAAATGGTAAAATAAAGTCAAGTTTATATACGTAAAAGAAACCATGTGGGGTGTGGAGACATGGAAGCAGTTGAAGCAGGACAAAGACTGGTGTGCACAAATGATAAGGGTCTTAGAACCCCCCCAAGGGGAGAGGTCCACCCAACACACAGCCTGAGCCTGGGAGTGGGACCACTAGAGGGGCTCCCTCACACTGAACCGAGCCTCAGGCCTTCTGACTTGGGAGCTCAGTGTTCTTTGGCCTATACAATGCTGAAAGGAGAACATAAAAACAATCAGTTTTGCCTGGCCGGTGTGGCTCAGTTGGTTGAGCATGGTCCGAAGCACCAGGAGGTCACCGGTTCAATTCCCTATCAGGGCACATGCCCGAGTTTTGGGTTGGATCCCAAGTAGAGGGCATGCAGGAGGATGTTTCTCTCTCATTGATGTTTCTCTCCCTCTCCCTCTCCCTTCCTCTCTCTAAAATCAAAACAAAAACAACAACCAAAAACACCACACATGCAAACAAACAAAAAACAAACAAAAAACAGTTTTGCCATTTCTGTGACCTCAGTGACGTGTGAATGTGGTGACTTTCAGGACAAGATTATATTTGTGAGCCCTGGGCTCCATTCTCCATGGCCTGTCTGACAGTCAGGGCTCTGTGAACTCAGGACCCTCAGACAATGCCCCTTTATCTTGCCTGGGTTGTTTTCCTGGAGAAGTTGCTAAGCAAACTTCTTCCTGCCTTGGCTATCTGATGAGAAGATGTGAAAGGATATAAATTAGGGTTTAGCATAGCTGTTTCCTTATAAATCATAGCTTTTGCTTCCCATTTAGGCTATAATTTTCCTTGTTCATATGAATATACTTCATGTCAACACCTTTCTCAAAAACCTTCATGGATTCTAATCTCAGAGCAAAAGCTAAAGACTTAATCTGATCCCCAAGATCCTATCACCTGTTCCCTCGCTGAGCTCCTTGCCCAGCCCATCTCACAGCATTTCCACCTGCTCCTCTCCCAGGTGTTTGCACAGCTTCCCCTTTAACCTGCCATAAGGCCCTGCACTTCACCAACACTCTTCCCCCTCTTCCCAGTTTTACTTAGCATAGGACTCATTTTACTTATTTATCTGTCTTCTCTCGTACAACGGAGGCATGTTCCATGAGGACTGAGGTTATATACTAGTATGTTTTATTGATTGCTAAATTCTCAGGGCCTGAAACTGAGCTTGGCCGATAGCAGACACTCACTCAGCATTCAACAATCAAAAGAATAAAAAAAGGTCTGATTATTTTTACAACTTTACCCTCATTCCATCCTTTTCCTGTCAGTGAAAACAGGCTCGTTACCCTCCATTCGTTCCCCTCTCAGCTCCTCTCGAACCAGCCTCTAGCACAAATCCTCACAGCATAATTGGGTACCTCTGCTGTGCAGGAACAAGGCTCAATGGTTTCTTACATGCTTTCAAGGGAAACACTACTAGCATTTAAATTTTTCATATGAAGAAACCCAGGCTCACAAGAGGTAAAGTTAACTTTCCCGAAGCCCCCAGTTTACAAATGGTGAAGCCAGGACTTGAATAGGGGGCTCTGGCTCGGGAAAGCGCATATTTAACCCCCTGTGTGAGTGTGACCGGTAGGAGGCTCTCTGGCAGTTATGAGCTCCAGATTCTCCTCACCTCTTTATCTTGGACTCGTACTCTATCTTCTGCTTGGTCATTTCCTGCTTCAGGCTGGACACCAAACTGTGCAGCGCACTGTGGTTGCTGCTGTTGTTACCCACAAACGTCTCACTGTTGTCGCTGCTGCTGGTGGCGCGACTACTTCGACCTCCCACACTCCTCCGGTCACTTTTGTTTTCATAGTCCCCAGGGTGGGAAAGATCGTCCTGCGGGGGCCCATCCAGAACAGGGTCCTCAAAGTTCCCACCATAAAAGTCTTGTTCTGGACAGGTGGTGGTGGAGGAGCGGCAGGAGTTGGAGTTCTCAGGGAGGGAGATTTCACAGGAGGAAGTGGACCAGGTGGCACTGTCAACGCTCTGTTTGTCATCAAAGTTCATCATGGAGAACTGCTGATGGACGTTGTCATAGGTGGAGAGCCTGTGGTGCTGGCCTGACTCTCCTGTTTGCTCTTTCTGCTTGTTATCTCTCAGGGTCACGTAGCCATTGGGCAGCCAGGACATGCCGCGGCTGTTCATGGGGTTCCCGAGTGAGTCGGTGTTTAAAACGCCCATGCGCACTGTTCCGTTCTGTACACTGTGGGTGCCCATTTTGGTGCCAGAGCTCTTCAGTGATGAGGTCCTTCTGGCCTGTAAGCTCCCATTGGGGGTGGTTTGGGTTTTCTCAAGACCTTCTGCATTGCTGCTGCTGAAGGACCCGTTGGTGACAATCCCGCTGCCCTTATTGAAGGCGGGGTTCTTTTTGACCAGAAGAGGGGGGCTCCTAGAGACATCTGGCTTGTGAACACTGTTCCTTGGGCTGTTGGTTTTGCTGCCTGACAGGGCTGTGGGGGAGCCATTATCTACGCTGCTTCTCTGGGGAGATTCGGACTTCTCCCAAGAGCACTGCCGAACAGGACTGTCCTTGGTATTGTTGTTCTCTTTGTTCTGTAGCTGACCCACGCAGGCTTTCTTCTGAACTTCATTGTTGTTGTTGCTCATTCCGTCTTGGGGCTTGCTTTGCAGTTCTGCATCTTTGGGGAACAGGCGATCGTGTTTGCTAATCATCACTGACATCAATTGCTGGACTACCACAGTGCCTAGAATTGCATAGAAAACAAAGTCACATGAATGAAATAGTTTTGATTTATTTCCCATTTTGAAAGTGATCCTTAAAGGACCACATTCAGGTGAACATTCAACATTATTATCAGCAGTGCTGAACTATATTCTTAATGATGATAATGGCAAACAGAAACTAAAATTTCTTGAGCATACACCGTGAACTCTACCAAGCACTTAAACTTTTGTTACAGCAAGTAAAATAACTCAAAAAATGAATAGAAAAATTGATCTATCATCAAAAGCAGTAATTTATTTAAAAATTAATGGGTTTATCAGTTAATGGTATACTAGTATTGGCTGAAATTCCAAATACATTTTTACATATTTCTCGCTGATTTACAATCTGGACTCCAATCCCTTAAAACTGGCTGTCACCATAAACCAGGCTTCTAATCTAGTTTCCTTACTTGGGGGCCATAATTTCCCTAAGAATCTTCTTAAGTATTAATGTTATTCATGTACCCACAATAAAGCAGTTTAGGCTAATGCAAACATCAATCATCTTTGCTTTGGCTTGAACTGTATTAATTTGATGTGTTAACTCGGTTTATATCATGTTGATGAAAGTTTGTAAGAGTAATGTCTGATAAGTACATATAGGGAATGAATTTATTTATTTTTTTAAATATATTTTATTGACTTTTTACAGAGAGGAAGGAAGAGGGATAGAGAGTTAGAAACATCAATGAGAGAGAAACATCGATCAGCTGCTTCCTGCACCCCCCCCCCCCACTGGGGATGTGCCCACAACCAAGGTACATGCCCTTGACCAGAATCGAACCTGGGACTCTTCAGTCCACAGGCCGACACTCCATCCACTGAGCCAAACCGGCTAGGGCAGGGAATGAATTTAAATTTTAGTTAGTAAATGTGGTTTCTACATAAAATAAAACATGAGATCTGGTGAGGAAAACGATGAGAAGGGCTTTAGACAATGCAGATTTCCACAGAAATAGCTGCTAATTGAGTGGCTGTCAGACTGTACAAATCTAACCTGGGAGGAGGCCACTCTTTAGCTTAAAGCAGCACCTAGGCAAGAGTTGACTCTGAACATAATTCAAATCAAATTTTGCATAGGAAAAATGTGTTATATCTCTTTCTATTCTGCATATTTCTTCTGTGATGATTCAAAACTTATATTTAAAACAAGAATCTGCCATGTGTCAGATCTGGTGCTGGACCAATGTTGCTCAAACACTAATATTTATGCAAATTATTTGGAGGTTCTGTCGAAGTGCAGGTATTAGGTGGGGCATACGATTTTACACTCCTAACCAGCTCCCAGAGGACATAGCAATAACAGCACAGGAGCAAGGGCCTCACCTGGAAGCTTCCCAGTTTCAGGACCCACTGAGGGCCTTCTGAAGCAGAATTTGCATTTTGACAATAGCCCCAGGGTGATTTCTGTGTTAGAGTTTGAGAAACACTGTGCTACATGGAAATGTTTCACTTACAGCGTCTAAATTAAGTTTCTCAAAAGACGGTGAGACAAGACTTAACATTTTTCACATGAGAAAACTGGAGCTCAGGGAGGTTAAGCTTTTGCTCAGGGCCATATGGACAGTAAGTGACCTAGATGAACTTTGATGCTTCGTCTTCTTACTCCAGATAGTTCTTGTTCTACTATATTTCAGCTGTTGCATTTAAACTGCAGTAATGATAAGTAAACTTGATATTTTTCTAAATAAACGAAATATAAGACAATTATTAAAGCACCATCAATTGTTACAGAGTCATGGAAGAAAAAAGCCATCTTTCTTCTTAGTCACATCTGAATTTGTCATCCTACTTCCATGCATGCAGCAGTGACTCTGATGAAAAGACATTGGGAGCGCTAAAATGGCTGTCAACACTATCACTGTCAGGTACTGTGTTTGAAGACATGTCTACTTAGTTCTAGTTTACTATTTGCCCTTAAGACAGGCACACTTTACAATGTTAGCAGGCTCTGGCCTGTAGACTCTGCCTAGTGCTTTGGGAAAATTTAGCTTTTTCCCAAAAAAGCTACTTGTCCACTTGTGCACCTTTCCCTTGCACATATTATTACTGTATTTAGAGAAAATTACTCTTCTCATTGGGCATCAGGTTTCTTAGGGGCAAAAAGAGGCCCAGGACTCCTATTGAAATGGGGTTCTTTGGTGCCCTAGGAGACTCAGAGCTCATGGTTCTGCTTCTCTCCGGAGCAGCTTTGCTCTCCTTTGTTGTCAATACTGGCAGGGGGAGGGGGAGGGGGAGGGTGGACCATGCAATTTTTATAGGACGTCTTCTAAAACAGCAACAATAAGAGTTCAAACAATAACTGTCACTGGAATATTAATATTTGAGGCATCCCTGCTTCCCGTCGAAGCTGTGAACTCTGTGGGGCATTTCATTGTAAAGTGACATCCCCAAGGTCTCCAAGGTGAGTCTGTGGACAGCAATGCCAAAGTGTACCTGCCACAATTGTAGAGTGAGTGTCAGCGTCTCCGGGATAATAAATGGCAATAGTTTCTTGTAAAGGGACTCCCCAATTCCCATATTTTACAGCTATTTAGGACAGACCAGCTTGGTGGTTATGATGAAGTGTACCACTTCTTTCCCTTTATATTTCCTCCTTTCTGTCATTCTCTTCCTTAGAATGCTAATGAGAAACATGAAACCCAAATGTGGTCAGGGTGCTTATAATCACCGTTCTGAAGAGTCCAAGCAGACTCAGGAGCCTCACTGTGCTGCACAATCCAGCCATTCCCCGCTCATGTCATTTTATACAGTTTGAACTGAAATACTATTTTAGGAATTTTTCTTCATAAGCATTGGATTCAATTTTCCTTAAAAGTTGCCTTGAAACTTTAAAGTACACTTATGCACACATATATAGTATATATTTAGTATATAGTATGTATTTATTATATATAATGTATATTATATATATACATATCTTTGGCATTAAACTATATGAAATATAGTTTCAATTTATTTAGTTTTTGCAAAGAATACCCTCGTACAGGTCATTTTGCATGTGTGCAGGTATCTGTAAAATACATAGTGATTTTTGACAAATGCCAGTCCAAGAACCACCACATTATCATCATATAGAAAATTCCCTTGTGCCCCTTTCTAGCCAATTCCTTACCCCCAACTTCCATTTATGGCAACCACTGATCTGCTTTTTGTCACTAAGTTTTTCTATTTCTAGAATTTCATGTAAATGAGATTATACAGTGTGAGGTCTTTCATGTGCAGGCATTATTCACTTAGCATAATAATTCTGACATTGGTCCACGTTGTTGCATGTATTGGTATTTCATTCTTTTTATTGCTGAGTGGTATTCAACTCCATGGTAGTAGCTCAGAATTAAGACTTTTCATGACCAGAGCAAATTAAAGCAACAGGTGAGATTACTTTGCTGCTCCATTTCCCCCTACTCTTTTAAAAACACCTACTTGTCCACTTGTGCACCTTTCCCTTGCACATATTATTACTGTATTTAGAGAAAATTACTCTTCTCATTGGGCATCAGGTTTCTTAGGGGCAAAAAGAGGCCCAGGACTCCTATTGAAATGGGGTTCTTTGGTGCCCTAGGAGACTCAGAGCTCATGGTTCTGCTTCTCTCCGGAGCAGCTTTGCTCTCCTTTGTTGTCAATACTGGCAGGGGGAGGGGGAGGGGGAGGGTGGACCATGCAATTTTTATAGGACGTCTTCTAAAACAGCAACAATAAGAGTTCAAACAAAAAGACAAAAAAATTCACTGACTTCTGGGAAGATGGTGGCAGCATAGTATTGAATCTCCCCAAATCTCCACATAAAAACAGAGCAACTAGTTAGCAAATCCCAACTCGTGGACCACATTCACAATTAAACTTGGTGGCAAGATGTCCTCCCAAACCCCATAAAAGAAATTGCTGCAGACAAATCCCTGTTTTCTCAAGACATGCATGGTGTTGGCATCTGTGTGAGAGGAAGCAGGAGGAAGGAATAATGGGCCAGAGAACAGAAAAGCCCTGAAGTATAGGTATTTGCTGCAAAATGCAAAGGGCTAATTTAAGAACAGCAGGTGAGACTGGGAGGGAGTGTGCCTAATCCCTTGGAAAGCCTGGGGAAGTGAGAGCCATCTAGCACCTGTGAACTCTCGCCACTGGCCAGCCAGAGCTCCTTCCAAACTCCACGTGGGGGGAAATTCTTGCGAGTGGAATCAAAATCAAGCAGGGAGGACTAGGACAATAAAGATAGAAGAAAGGGAAGGCTAAGTAAAACCAAGGGTTGGAACTAAGCCAGTACATCTTAGAAAGCAAGCTGCCATATTGTAATACTCTGTGAAAAACAGAAGACTTGGCTCTGTGAAATCAGAGAACCTAACCTGCACGCTGACCAGATCATCTACACATGCCTGGCTTATGACAACATACATTTGAAAAATTCGCCGACTTATGCAGATCCTCCAGATGTTGGTACCTTTAATTTTAGAGTATCAACGACATTTAATTGTGTCATTATCAACACAATCTCACCAGAAGAATAGCTAAATATTAAGAAGCTGTCAAGCTTAAGGTGTTAGATAAAAGTTTTTTACTTCTTTAAATTTCATCAATGACAACACATTCTGTCAGAGATTTTCTTAAAGTAAAAAGATTAACTTAGTTCATTTTTGAGAACCTGTCTGCCAAAAGCTCAAGTCTGTATGACTATAGTTTGTCCATTGTTCTCTCAAGTAAACATGAAGTACCATGGAAAAACAATTAGTGTAGCTCTCACCTCAAGTAATCACACAAAGGCATTTCCTTGAACCGATTATTGTATTACCTTAAAAACAGTATGTGGAAGAAGTGCTTTACACATAGAGCTCATCTCTCCACCAGATTGTTCTCAAGGGGGGTATTGAGTACAGTTAATATGATCTACTGTCCAACAAGAACATTCTTAAGTAAAATTTGTATTTTTTCCTGTTACCAGTGTATGGCAGTGAGAAATGTAATGTAATGATGCTAGTGGAGTTTGGTACTACTACCTTGATTCACACTAAGGTAGTTATTTTTTTCCATCATTGCTTTTGCACCATCAACGCAAATGTCAACATAGTGAAAGGACAAAAAACACCTTGGTATAAAATCTTAGTATTTTTATGAAGATATGAACTTGGAGACCTCCGGAAGGTATCTTAGGGCCCCCCCACCCCCGGTATCCTTGGACCACATTTTGATAACTACAAGGTTAGAGAGACAATAATGTAAGGACCATTAAATGCATAGTTACATATAGAACTAAGACTGGATAAAAACTAAAAGAAAGAGAGTATAGTATCTAATGTGTATATATAGATATAGTGTGTGTGTGTGTGTGTGTGTGTGTGTGTGTATCTTAGGGCCCCCCCACCCCCGGTATCCTTGGACCACATTTTGATAACTACAAGGTTAGAGAGACAATAATGTAAGGACCATTAAATGCATAGTTACATATAGAACTAAGACTGGATAAAAACTAAAAGAAAGAGAGTATAGTATCTAATGTGTATATATAGATATAGTGTGTGTGTGTGTGTGTGTGTGTGTGTGTGTGTGTGTATCAGTGGCAGCCAGGGAAGGAAGGCCCTGGCCAGCAGCCAGAAGGCCCTGATTGGCCCTGATCGCCGGCCAGGCATAGGGTCCCTACCTGTGCACTAATTTTGTGCATTGGGTCTCTAGTAAAAAAATAAAAGGAGAATTAGAAGATCATATATAAAAAGTTTTTAAATGTTTGCAATAATCATATTGGTGTTAATAGTATTACTATTTTTATTCTGAGACTATTATGCTTTTGATAAGAGGTGGAGCAAATGATTATTTATCAGATATTTGAATTTTGTAATTTCCAATGCCTTTCAGAACCAAGATTCATATTTGGAAGGATATGAAACTATAGCAGATTAAAGAATAAATTAAAATGCTATAGACATGATTTTGAATTGGAAGTATAGTGTGAACTTGGGAGGCAGTTTGTCTTTAACATGTGTGTATGTATGTATATTGTATGTGTACTAAGTATGTCTGTAAGTAGCATTTTTATCTACTTGCTCTGTCCACTGAAAGGTCTAGAAATGACCAAACCAGTAGCAATGAGCATCACCTGTATTTTGGTCTTGAAGTATCATTTCCCACTAAAAAATTGTTTTTGAAAATTGGACTCTTTGGAAATTGGCTGATTCAGGTTTGGGGCGGGAAACATATGAGTCTGGGAAATCTGAAATACTAAAGGGAAAGAAAGCTATGAAAAACAATTCAGGTCATGTCAAAAGGACTGGGAAGGCTAGTTGAAGGGGCTTCCACTGGCCAAAGATGGAAAACAGTAATTACAAAGAACAATAATTACAATGCATTGACTCATGAAATAGATTTAAATACATGAGTTCATAATTATATTTTACAAATAGTGTTAATAATAACATTTCTAATAGGAAGAAGAATAAGAAGGATAAGGAGGAGAACTCACTGTTAGAGAATGTTAAAGAAGCCACAGCTTGACAGACCTGGAGAGTATTATGCTAAGTGAAATAAGCCAGTAGAGAAAGACAAACACCATATGATTTCACTTACATGAGGAATCTAATGAACGAAATAATTCAACAATCAAAATAGAAACAGAAGCATAGATACATAGAACAGACTGAAAGCTGTCAGAGAGGCTGGAGCAGGGGGCCTGGTGAAAAAAAAGGTAAAGGGATTAAGCAAAAAAAAAAAATTATATATATACATAGACACAGGCAACAGTATGGTGATTACCAGAGGGGAAGGGGGTGGTGGGGTAGAAGAGGGCAAAGCAGGATAAATGGGGATGGAAAGAGCCTTTACTTTGGACAATGGGCACATGATGCAGCGTGCAGATGATGTTTTGTTGACTCGCACACTTGAAACCTATATGGTTTTTGTTAATAAATTCAGTTAAAAAACAATCTATTTCCTTATTTAAAACCTAATAAAGGGAAAGACCAAGCAGCTATTTATGAAAGCTACCACTGGGTTACTAAGTAGTAGATGAGAAGAGATTTTATTTATTTATTATTTATTTATAATAAAAGTGTCCCAATTATTAAGTTAAAACATTATGATGCTACAACATGGATGAACATTGAAGACACTAGGCTGACTAAAATAAGCCAGTCACCAAAAGACAAATACTCTGTGAACCCACTTACATGAGGTATCTACAGTAATAAAATTCATAGAAACAGAAAGTAAACTGGGGTTGCCAGGAGTTGAGGCATTATATTTAATGGATACGGAGTTTCCATTTTGCAAGATGAAAAGAGTTGTAGAGGTGGATGGTAGTAACCGTTGCATGACAATATACATGTACACAATACTACTGAATTGTACACCTAAAAATGGTGGCAAATTTTATGTTATGGATATTTTGTCACAATTTGTAAAACTGGAAAACAATTATAGAATTAGGATATCACCGTTTCAACATCCAGTGAATTAATAGTTTTAAGAATTGCACTAAGATCACACAAAATAAAGATAACCAGATGTTATATAACAAAATCTATAGCCTTGCTAATACTATCAGACATGGCTTTGATCCAGGTTCTAATTTATAGAAAATAGAGGGCAGAGGACTATGCTAAACTGCATTATGAATATGCAATCAACAAAGTTCAGACTATGGGAAACTATACAGTTCAGATAATCTAATTTTTCAACAAATTATAGGGATGCTGTATATTATAAGAGACTTAAATATATATATCAAGTAAAAGAATAGTAAAGGGTATGCCAGGCCAGCGTGGCTCAGTGGTTGAGCGTTGACCTATGCACCAGGAGTTGTGGTTCAATTCCTGGCATGCAGGAGGCAGCCAATCAATGATTCTCTCTCATTGTTGATGTTTCTATCACTCTCTCCCTCTTCCTTCCTCTCTGAAATCAATCAATATATATATATATTGATTTGCCCACAGGTAAATAAGTAACATTGTCTTACAGAGGATCATATTTTTCTACCTCTTAAAATCAGTTAAATAAACCAAAGTTAATAAAAACATATTACCTTAAAATAGTAACTTTTGAATTTTCTGAAAATTTCCTTGGACTCAAAAGTGAACTTGAATTTTCTAGTTCTTGCCTAATATTTTACAGATGACTTATAGAAGTTCCATTCATTCTTGTAAGGTTACTGAGGAATCAGTTAGTCAATTATTATGTTTAGTAAACTTAGACAAAACCCTGACTCCCAAAGAGAAGATTTTTTCACTTAAAAAACCTGAGAAAATAAGTGGAATTGTTATGGATTTACTTATTTCCCTCATTTGCTCAATAAGTTCAGGCCAATCAAGAGACAGTGATTTTTTTTTTGTGATGGTATAAGATAATCATTTACTTACCCTCCATGATAGTCAAAGGATCTTCCATTTTAGGGCGCAGGATATTAGGGCCAAAGACAGTGGCCAAGTTCTGTGCACTCATTTTGTTAACTCCTGAATAGGATTGTACTTCATCCAAGAATCTGTTGGGTGTAAGAATGTGAAGAAAACACGAGGTTAAATTTGCCAATAGAATAAAATGAGTCATCCTATATAATAAAAGGCTAATACACAAATCAACTGAACGGTGGAATGACCACTTGCTATGATGTGCACTGACCACCAGGGGGCAGATGCTTACTGCAGGAGCTTCCTCCTGGTGGTCAGTGTGCTCCCACAGGGGGAGCGCCACTCAGCCAGAAGCCTGGCTCACGACTGGCGAGCTCAGTGGCAATGGCAGGAGCATCTCCTGCCTCCGCAGCAGTCGGACATCCCCTGAGGGCTCCTGGACTGCAAGAGGGCGCAGGCCAGGCTGAGGGACCCCCCTAGAGTGCAGTAATTTCATGCACCGGGCCTCTAGTTATAAAATATTTATAAACTTGAGAATGTTAAGCGATGATTATGTAGGTAAAATTATTTAGGAATTCAAACATCTCAATCAAATGTGGAGAAAATATGTTGCAAATTATTAAGAATCAGACTTGAGGAATCATATCAGATATCACCCCTGGCCTGGCTTGACTTGGTTTCCTCTGTCAGTTACAGAAACAAGTGTTTGGATAATACTAATATGGACTTAGATTGAAGAATATGAGTTCCCTTCCAACGCCTCAATAAAGTATTAAATATGTGTATTCAATTTGAGAATTATAAATAAGATCATCTGGTACAAGCCCTTATTTCAGAGGGGAAGAATCACCCCTCTTTGTGGAGTAATTTGTGAGCTTTCCATTTATAGTCTGTTAAAAATGAGACCAAACATTTTTAAAATTAAAACCTCATTTCTACTGACATGAAAATTACAAGCAGAAATTGTTTCAATTTATTAGGTGCTAAAGAACAAGAGGCATGAAATCAGCCTTTCCCTGAATGAATTTAGTGGGGGAGGGTTGTTTTTGTAGTCTTTCAGCCTTTTTTCATTCCCTCTCCCTTCTTCATTTTGGCAAGAACTTCTGTTTTGCATGGCTTACAGATTTAACCGATAAGACAAAAAAAGAAATGATGAAAAATAAAAGTTAACTTATTTTATGTTACTTAATACATGTTATTATGTGTCAGTCATTGTGCTAACTTGTTAAATTCTCACAGCATCCCTGTGAGGTAAGTACTATGATTGTCTCCATTTTACAGGTGAGACACACGAGGCACCAGAGGTTAAAAGTCTTTGCCAAGGACACGGGGTTAGTAAGTGGGAGAGCTGAGCTTTGAACCCCGGTGTTCTGACTCTAGAGTTTGTGCTCTTCATTACCACACCAGGACTTTTCAAAAAGGTGCCTGTTTCCGCATGTTATACAGACTAACTACATACAGACTAACTATAATAAAACCGAAGGACAAAAAGCCAAACTACCATTTCTTATTTGAAATAGTTGAAATTAAAAGTCTGCTTAGATGTTTCAAGAGAAGTTAAGTTTTTCCATTGTGACGATAAAGACTTGCAATAGGGTTCTCAAAGCCTTTTTCCCCATTTACTTAAAGAGAATTTAAACTTTTTATTATCCACTACAGTAGTGGTCATTTCAGATACTCTGCAGTCGTGTCAATCATCAATTTCTTTATTTAAATTTAATACGTTTTGATTTTATGTTTGGCTTTTTTAAACAGGAGCACAGACATGGAGCCTCCCATCCCAGGCTCTAAGTTAAATATGGTCACTGAGAGAGCGCTTTTCCAGGCACAGCTATTTTTCTAACAGAGTTGAATTACAAATGTCTTTTCAATGAGTCTGAGGTGGGAGAGGAATTGAAAGAAAATAAAGTGCAGTAAGCACTTATTACATATACATTAATTAGTTAAAAATATAATTCAATTTTAAAACAAATGTGTGAGATGTGTGTTTTTACTACCATTTTACCGATTAGGACTCTTAGATTCAAAGAGAACAAGAAATTGCATAAAGATAAGTAAGTAGTCAGTGGTAGAATCTGGCCTCCCATGCAAACCCTTGTCATGCCAAGGAGCATGTTCCGTCTCATAAACAATAGTACAAGGTACCTGTACAAACAACTTTGACTAAAGTTCAAAGCAACATAGCTTTAATATGTGAAGCTAAGAGAGACTTCAGAAATGACAAATTACAGAATCATGCAATCTTAGTGCTCAGAGAACCTTTGACATCACTTTGTCAAACCTCTTACTTTTACAAGGCCAACATGCGAGCTCAAAGCAGTAAAATGATTTTATTCACCGTCAAACATAAGTTAGTGTCAGGCTAAATATAGTCTGGTTTTGTTTAGGACAATTCTTACCTGCAAATATACTTGAGGAGATTATAATTGACCACTGGCAAGCTCTTCACCTGCTTTGCTAATTCCTTCACGCCCTGAGTATAAAGAAAAAGAGAATAAATATTACCTTTCTAAGTATTGGTCTTGGAATTAAAGCAAATGGGAAAAGGAGACATACAGTGCTGTGTGTGTTTTTTTAAATTAATTTCATATATTATTAGTGTAGGGTCCTGTCTTAAAAACTTGCTACCATCACAGAGAGAATGCTAGAAATATTTTCAAGGATGTGAAAGGATTTCAAATATTTCCATAAGTACTATTTGTGGAGAAAAAGATGTAAGTGAAGCCCTTTTAACATTTTAAGCATTTGTTCACTTTCCTGAAAATGGGAGATAGCCACAATTATAATAAGTCTATGGGGGAGAAAAAGTAGTGTTGATGTATTGAAAGTCCTTCCCATTTTCAGCATGCCCCAAACACAGAGAAACACACGTCTACAGACAAATAAGTCTCTCAAAATTGGTCATGTCTATGGCACATCGTTTGGGGTGAGAAGCCTGATCTTCCTGGAAATTTCACAAAGGGATTAAATGCTTTGTTTCTTCTCATTGTAGAACTTCCTCTGAAATATAAATGGTCCCAGAAAAGCTATTGGATGATGTAATCTGACTTGTTCTTCTCCCTGTAATGGGCCAGACAGTAAGTATTTTAAGCTTTCTGGGAAATATGGTCTCTGTCTCAACTATTCCACTCTTCTGTTTTAGTGCAAAAGCAGCCACAGACAACATTATATAACAAACAGGCAGCAATTTTGACAAGAGTGCCAAGAAAATCCAATAGGAAAAAAGGGATAGTTTCTTCAACAAATGGTGGTGAGACAACTAGATATGCACATGCCAGAGAATGATACTGAACCCTTTCCTCACCCCATAAACACAAATTAACTGAAAGTGAAGCTTACAACTTAAATGTGAGAGCTAAAGTTATAAAAGGCTTAGAAGAAAATATGGGAGTAAATTTTTGTGACCTTGGGTTAAACAACGCCTTCTTAGATATTTGAATAAAAGCACAAGTGACAAAAGAAAAATGGATAAATTAGGCTTTATCAACATTAAAAATTTTTGTGCTTCAAAGGATACCAATCAAGAAAATGAAGAGACAAATCATAGAATGGGAGAAAATATTTTCAAATCACAGACCTGATAAGGGACATGTATCTAAATTATATAAAGAACTCTTACAACTTAATAATAAGATAAATAACTGAAATAAAATGGGGAAATGTCCTGTCTATGATGTTTTTCAAAAAAAATACACCCATAGTCAATAAGTACATGAAAAGATATTTAAAATCATTAGCCATGAGGGAAATGCAACTCATACCTCAATGATATACCACTTTACACACATTAGAATGGCTATGATAAGAAAGAGAGAGAACAAGTGCTGGCAAAAATGTAGAGGACTTGGGACCTGCACACATTGGAAGTTTACATGGTGAAGCCTCTTCAGAAAACAGTGTTACATATGGCCCAGCAATTCTACCTCCTAGATATATACCCAAGAGAAATGAGAACACATGTTCATAGCAGCATCATTAATAATAGCCAATCAATGGAAATGCCTGTCTTGCAACCGATGAATAAATAAATAATGGAATATTATTTAGAAATAAAATACCAATACACGGTACAATGTAGATGAACCTTGAAAACAGTGAAAGAAACCAGTCACAAAAGACAACATGTTGAATGATGCCATTTATACGAAATGTCCAAAATAGGCAAACTTATAGAGATAGAAAGTTGATTAGTAGTTGCCAGGAGTTGGGAAAGGAGAAGCATGGGGAACAGGTATGAAGTTTATGGGGTGATAAAATGTGCTAACTATCCTACAATTAGATTTTGGTGACCGTAGCAGAACTCTGAGAATATAGTAAAAAGCACTGAATTGTACACTTCAAATGGGTGATTCTATAGTATCTGAATTGTGTCTCAACAAAGCTGTTTTTACAAAAACAGGCAGTAGGGAGGATTTCTTAGGAGTCATTGTTTGAGGTGATTTAAGAGGCACAGTATGAAAAAGGAAACATGCAGTAAGTCATCCACTTTGTTCACAGACTATTTGGCACCACAATGAACCTTTTAGGGGAGCATAGCGGCAAGGTGCTCATTGCATTTATTCGGTCATATTTTTCTTTTTTTAATGAGAGGAGGGATTAAAAATGGGACCTGAGTTGTGTGTGTCAAGTCTAAATGTGTGTGATGTCAATACACAGAAGAGTGGAACACAATCCAAGGATAGGGCAAAGGAAAGATTACAAATTAAAGACAAAGAACACTGACAAAACCCTCAAACAAAAGCTTTCGTAGAAATAAATGCAGAGACTTACGGCTTCCTCTTCCTTGCTGAGCAGTTTGGCACATGACAAAAAATCTTCATACTTCGCATAAGGAATCACTGGTTCTGGAAGTTCTCGGAGATACAGTTTGAGAAGTGACGCCACTGTGTGCACATCCGTGTTGCTGCGGAGAGAGAAGTGTGAAGATCATCTTTGGACTGAACCTTATAGCATTTTGTTTATTTTTTAATCAAATATATATGTGTGTGTCAGAATTATATATGAATTTGCAATGAAATCAGTCAATCCAGCTTTCAAGAAATACATACTTATGGGACGATGCCTACTAGATGCTATCGCAGGTGGGAAGGAAAGGGACATACATAGGACACTTGCAATTCTCAGTGTGGTTTGAAAGTTCAGCATTTGCTTTTGTGTGTATTTGATGTTAAGCAAAAGTGTTAACTTTTGAAAACAATGAGTATATACCAGACTTTAAATAAAATAGAACACAATTTACCAAAAAATACCAAATCTACATATGTGTGTACGTGTGTATTTAATGTCAAAATTAATTACTTCTGAATCTTAACTTTATTTCTCAAAATATCTCTCATGCCTGAGAAAACATTGGTGATTGGTTATAGATACTGGAGGCTTGCCATGAAATGCTGCAGCTTTTAAGCAGAGCCCATTTTGAAAATGATTGAATATCAGCATGATTGCTTGTCTAATATTCTAAGATAGTTGGGAACCCTTGGAGTCTTTTAGAAAGGAAAGGAAAGTGCTACAAAAATAAACAATGAAAACTTAACATGAAAAGCAAATTTTTATTCTTTGCTGAATATTAGAGTGGCAGGATAATTTATTGAAATGTTATTTTATATTTTGTTTTCTGTATTTCCCTATTCCCAGTAAATCCATGAAGATGGCTGACAGCAAAGACAGAAAGAGGAGGGGTTGTCTTTTTCTGTTGTTTTGTTTTTGTTTTTTTTATCTGGGGGCAGAGTGACAGGAAAACGGGAAGGGGAGATGGGTGAGCAGGGAGTAAAAAGGTCAATTGATCCCCAGGAAGTGGGAAGAGTGGTAGTGAATGGGGTCAGGGATCTTGTCAGTAATGAGAACATACACCCACTCCCAGACCTCGCTGAAGGAAGTGACAAGTCGCCAGAGGGATACACCTGGACAAGCTGGAACAGAAGCACCAAAATTCCCTACTTCCGTGAATATTCTGTTGGCCCAAGAGCACATGAAAGCAGAATTGACTTCACCAAACTAAGTGGGCTGAGGCAATGGGCATTTCACCTCTCAGTGTGGGACTCAGGTTGATTTCACCAAGCATTTCCCACAGCTAATCTGTATTAGACGCTACAGAAACACAGTGGCTAGGACCCCGATGAGTTAAAGGAATGTATTATTCTTTATTCTAGCCTGCTTATAATTTATAACTGGGGGGGGAGCAGATATTAAGTAGATAATAATACAAGTTCATAATCACAAGGTGGTAATAAGGAAAAGTATCAGATGCTATCAAGGGAGGACTAATCTAGAGGCTGTTTCTCTGAGGAACTGATGTTGGGGCCAAGATCTGAAGCGTGTGTGTAAGAATTAACTACGTGAAAGTTGAAGAACAGAAGGAGATTTTCCTGATTAATGCAAAGCAGATAAACAGAGACCTAGGTGAGAGGAAGAGTCCTGTCCTTGAGGAGCTGACAAAAGCCAGGGAGACCAGATCTCATAGTGGGACTGGACCATGGACTTCACCTTCCTCAGCAGTAGGGAAGGGCTGAGGTTTTCCATTTTCACACTGAAGTGAGTCAAAGGAGGCATTCTGCCAATCGTTTTGCAGATATTAAAATAATAAATGTGACCTGATAAGGCCTGTATTAACTAATTTTATTCTTTCCATAATTAAGTAACTATTTTTTCTCTTAAAATTCTCAACTGATAGACAATATAGAAGTCATCTCAAAGGCTTGTAAAGAAAATAAAAATCATGTCTTCGAGGATGTCTTGAAAATTGTGACCAAACTATTAATTCCTAAAAATACTTTCCTTCAATTTCTTTTTAAAGCTAGGCCTAAAGTAGTCTCAATGGTAAGACATGAAAGACTATTTTTTTTTTCCTGGCAAACCACTCTACTTCCTGCATATCAAAGCCCTTCTGTGTTTCTAGTGCTATGTTGTTAATCACCTGACCCCTGGGGGTGCAGTCCTCAGTAGTAACAAAACCACAAACTGGAAGGACGGGCAGTTCAACCAAGTATTAAACTATTTCCATCTTTTGATTCCACTCAAATCCAAACCACACTCTAACCCAAAGAAATTTATGACCAGGTTAGGTTGTATTGCCTTCAAATTCAATGACAAGTTTGTTAGGTTATAGGTAGCTACAGAGAGAAATATAAAAATATAATATCAAATAAGTATAATTTCAATATATGGAATATATCATGTATAATTTGTATGACCACATAGAATATATAAAATATTTATGAAATAAATACAATAAATAAATGAGACAATAAGAAATATATATATTTAACAAAAAAATCTGTTTTAGTATTTCAATGACGAACTATTCATTACTCTCCCCAAGCACACTGTTTTTAAGGTAACTTGCTGTCTTTTGTTTTTTATTTCTTCATGTTTCTTACTGCCTTTGATCAGGTTTTTATTCAAAATTAGCTGTCCAAAGTGATTTGAACTTTATGGAATAAATTGTTTTTTTTTTTCTTTTGCGGTGAGTTTCTTTTCTGAGGACTTCTCAGTTGCTGGCTTCTTGGTACCTGTAGCCTTTTTACTTCCTGTATTATTCTGCTTCTAATGAAGTTGAGCTATAGCACTGAGGACGTTTGAACACTAGATGGCGCTATTGCAAAGTTAGACTAATCGAGAGGGTGTGAAAATTGTGAGGGATGAAAGGCTGCAGAATCATTCTTCATCTGCCAGCGATATTCTTAGTTCCAAAGCTGCAGTAATTTCCCAAGAATAGAAATATTCGAGCTATGAGTCAAGGTAAGAGATGTGAACTGAGATGATTATATTATCCCTTCCCTACGGTAATACGTTACATTAGCTTTTTAGCTTCTAGTATACATAAACCCACACACTATTAAATAGAAATAATGAAGAAAAATTACAATATATTTTCTTGGTTTTTGATTAGCAAATGTTATTAATTTTTTTGCTTAAAGAATAAAACTTAAATTTATGGCTCCTTTGGGGGCTTTATTAAACTTAGGTTATTTTGTAGAAAAAGAGACTCCTACATTCTCATTTTTGGCTTTGTCCTCTCCCACTGAATGGAAGAAGACAATCACTTCTGGACCGATGCCAACGTGTTTGCTGGTTCTGATTCACTTCAAGAGCCTCACAGTGCATCCACCCCAATTGCCAGTATGCTGCCCACTACGATAGGAGGTCTGGGGTTTCTCTAAAAAAAGTCACTCTACAACAGAACCACACTGTGCATCTAACTCTCCAGCCTGACACCCCTCACTGATAACTCATTATTTAGCCTAATTTTTAAAAATATTTTTTTTTATTGATTTCAGAGAGGAAGGGAAAGGGAGAGAGAGATGGAAACATCATTGATTGGCTGCCTCCTGCACACTCCTTACTGGGGATCCAGCCTGCAACCCGGGCATGTGCCTTGACCAGGAATTGAACCTGGGACCCTTGAGTCCTCAGGCTGATGCTCTATCCACTGAGCCAAACTGGCTAGAGCATTACTTAGCATAATTAATATTTGCTTAATATATGGCCAATTAGGTAAATACCAATTAAGATGAGTTCTATATTGTCTATTCATTTAGAATTTTAAGAAAAAATATTTTTTAGTTATGAAAAGAATAAACTTAATTAGATAAGACAAGCCCTACCTATCAGATCACCTCTATTATTTTAACATCTGCAACTGTATGTTAATTGCCCGATGTACCTAGAAAAACGTGTTCTCTTTGCCTCGGAGAAATATATCTCAGTCTTCATGAAAGGGAGGTCAAGTGACTGCATTATGGCAGAAGCTGGTGTACATGGAGAATTAAAATCCCTAACTCGGCAATAATAGTAATAACAACAGCAGTAGCACACACCTGTGCACATCTCTTTGTGCATCAGGCCTGCCAAGCAGCTCATTGAATGGGTTCTGTTCTTAACTCTCTTTGGGGTTCTTAAAAGGAAATTGTACATTATACAAAATTCTTTTTGGCTAATTACTGATATAGGAGGGTTTTTAATGTAACACTCTTTTAGTAGGAATTCAAAACTATTTGCTAATGTAAAATCATTATACAAACCTCAGGTCTCTTTCATTCACCTGGCAGTACAATCTGTTTTCAGAAGCTAAGATAAATAACCATGGACATTCTATTCAGTGATAGCAAAGAGGCAGAGCCAGGCCCGGGGATCCTGAGTAAAGGAGCTGTCAGGCCAGAAGATGCTGCGAAGCATATGTCCCTTCATTGATCAACATACGGGTTTTGTTTACAACCTATATTGTACTTGTACTTCTGAATTCTGCAGTGTTTTCTTTTACACTTAAAGGGAGGGTTCCATGAGACTTTCTACAATTGACCTAATTTTATATTCTCAAAGGTCTCCCTTTGGCCATTCTGGGATTGTTCTAGAAATCACTACCTCACCAAATAGTTTACGAACATTTATAGTGTGCACTGCCCCATGCCACACCCTAGGTGAAGCAGAAATCTTTTTTTTGTCCCTCTTGGTTTTATATCTCTAACCAATCACCAAGATGTTTCCATACCACTTTTCATTTGCTCAGCTTCTTAACATTTTCTGTATATTATAGCTGCTAAGTCCCTGCCAGGTGGGTGATCTTAAGAATAGTTTTATACTTCATGAAAATGACCTGTGTTATTTATAATCTATGCACAATAGGGGCCTCTTACTAAGCTGAGCAGGGATAAAGGAGTCTGATGACAATCCCTCCTTGCTCATCCCCTAGGCCCTCCCCTCCTTCTCCGATAAACAGACCCACACACAGAGATCAGCTCAAATGCCACAGTAATTACAAGCATAATACTACACAGGAAAAATCTTGAAACTTTTAAGCTTCAAAATGAGAAATGGAAATTTTCTTTCCAGATTCAATGCACAGAACATAATATAATCCGTTGATTTAACTGAATAGAGTGAATTTCCAATGCACCCCATGGAGAG